TATTTGTTTCAGCTTTTCAAAGCAGAGTCACACGTAGTCTTGGGTTGCCTGCTACCCCCTATGTAGCCAAGTATGGCCTTGAACTCTGAACTCCCCATCTCTACCTCCCAGGACTGAGATTAGAGCCATGTGCCACTATCTATACCTGACAAGAAGCATTTATCCTTTGATTCTATAAGCCTCAGGAAAATGTAAATGAAGCATTATAAGAAAATCCCTGAAGAGAAATGTGACTCTGTCTCCCAACTGCTAACCATAATGTTAATGGTGAAAATACCCAGAATGGTCAAGAAGCCTTATATTTCAGATAATGCAGGGCTAGAGCTAGGCTTCTCTGTAATGCACAATGTTCAGGATAATTGTCTTTGTAACAGCTTTCCATCAGTGCCAAGGCTGGTGTTTCTTTGTCAACCAAAACACCCACATTCTCATCCACACACACTAGGACCTGGGGTCTGCAAATGAAGTCCCGGACAGGATATTTGCTTGCAGACACATCTTAGGTTTCATTCAGACATCCTTGGCCTCCTAGCCATGATTTTCTTCTCTGATAGAAACACAGGATTTAAAGAATAAGAAAATAACATACTTTAGAAAATTGCTCGCTCGCTCTCTCTCACTCTGTGTGTGTGTGTATCTATCTGTCTGTCTGTCTCTCTTTCCTCTCTCTCTCTCTCTCTCTCTCTCTCTCTCTCTCTCTCTCTCTCTCTCACACACACACACGATTTAAATAGATAAACAGAGGTCTCACCTCTCAGTCCCAGGGTCAATTACACGTGTAATTGAGATGAGAAGGACACAAATCCATAACAGGGATTCCATGGAGGCCAGGCCATAGCAAGAAAAACTTTAAAGTTTCTCCTGGGAAAACTGTAGACAGTAATCTGGAAAAACTGTAGATGGTAATTTTGGCAGAACTTTCTCATGTAAACATACATGCATGACTTCAGAATAAGAACAACAAACCGCTGTGCCTCATCAAGTAGTTTTTCCTCAGTAATACATAATAGCATATATATGCACAGAGAAAATACATCAAAAAAGAGACTTGAAAACAAGTTGTTCTGCCTTAGGGGAAATTAATTTCGCTAAGTGCCTGAATGCTAATCTGTATGTCAGTTTATATAACAAATATTTATTGAGGATATGACTTAATATAAGGCTCTATTGACTCTATCAGCAGCTACCAAGGATCTCAAGAGACCCAAGGAAGCACAGGGACAAAAAAAAATCTCTGCATCACAAAAAAGCTGACACACCACAGAAGAACTAGACATGCCAAAGAAATACAGAGTTCAAAGTGGTTCCATCAAAGGTGCTGGTTTGTAAATTCAGGGTTCAGTTCACACTGAAGGAGCAGCCAGTATTGGTGGATTCGGTCTCACGATGGACTTAGACACAAAATACATTGAGTTTTCAACAATATTTATGATTCTTGTATAAAAATCTAAGGTGGTCCCTGCCACTATGCTGCAGCAGTTTTAGGCAGATGAGGAGGAGCCTCACGATGTAGGAAGGACTGGGACTGTGTCAAGGCTGTGTGTGCCTACTATCCCCTCGACAGCATACACTCACTCAAGAGTCTAACCGACTCTAAACTGAGTGGGTCGCCTCACCTTCCACGTCCTCTGTGGAGGAGGACCTCTTGCTTTCAAGAGTGAAAGAAGAAAGAAATCAGGACAAAGAGACCCTCAGACTCAGCCCTCTGACATCACAGGTGAAACCGGGGTTCTTGGGCACTTGGGCAAGAGTTCATTTGCAGTCTCTGGAAGGAACCAGTGAACAAAGCAACGGAACAGATGGGAGTTTCTCTATCACTTTCCCACCAGCATTAATACTTTCTGAACTGTTGTCTGTTGTTTTGCTTTTTTAAATTCTTTCAGGATTAAAATGTCACTCAAAATTGTTCCTAACTTTTAAGATGTCTTCAAAGCCTCAGACAACAAACACTCACTAACTCTCCACAGGACTAGCTGGATCCTCAGGACACGGTCAAGCCAAAGTTCTGGCTATTGAACACAGTGTGTCTTTGTTCACAGAGAATAATGATACAGCTCTGTAAAATATTTCCCCAGGAACTCCAGCAAGCTTGTTGCTGTTGTTGTTGCTGCTGTTGTTGTTTGAATCAAGCTCTTGGTAGGTAGGTGGTCCAGGCTAGCCTCAAATTCACAAGCTTCCAGCTTTAGCCACTTCTGTGCCGCACAAGTGTATGGCACCACCACACCTAGCTCTAGAAATTCTAACAATCACAAAGAGGAGTTGAAACGAATAGAACAGAGATGAGCCCACAGCATCAGCATCACCTGCAGGTGCAAGTTCTCGGTCTCAGAACCCAGGTCCATGGTGTGTGATGAAATGATCCTTCCATGGACTTTTGGAGCACTCTAACTTGAAGCAATGTACTTCCTTGAATTAAGTGTAAGGCAAACCAAGCCTGCATAGACTGTGGTAGAACGAGCATTATGCAGACAAAAACTATAAGCCAGAGATGGATTGCAACAAATATATTAGTCTGGAAGATCAAATTATTGACTCTGAATATCTGGCATGCTCTTGTTGCTTAAAACACATGACTGAAAGTCTGTGTACAGACTACACCTCTGTCTTATTAGATGCAGAGATTACTTACATGTGAACAGGATGAAGCAACCTAGTGAGTATGTGGTTAGAGCATACATTTTCACACACTGGTATTTTGACTTTAATTCATCCCTTAACTTTTGTGGGATAGTTATTGTCACCCATTTGTCTGATGAGGAAATTGAATTTCACAGAGGCTAAGGAATCTGCCCAAGGCCTTCAGGTAAAGGACCGTATGGCATCTGAGCCCATTTCTGTTTAATTCCAAATGTGTGCTTGTCACTATAGCTTGTGACATGCTTATATCCGGTCTGTGTATAGACCTGGAATATTTAAAGCCAAGTTCATATATTTTGTCATGAAATATTTTTTAAAAAATGATAAAACGCTTGAGATGTTAAAAAGGGGAACAAACAAATAAGTTACTTTAAAATAAAAGGAAGGTGGCAGCTACAATGTACTCCTAGGAAGGAGCAACTTTTACAGAAAACTGCAGTGAGTGCAGGATGTATGTGCATATGTGTGTACACATGCATGTGTGTGCAGGTATATATGCATGTGGATGAATGTACCTGTATGCATTATATAGATTCATCTGTGTTAATGTGTGTCTGTGTGGGTTTGTGTGTGTGTGTGATGAATATGTGTGGAACTTTCAGGTTTCTTCCGAGAACTGAACTTGGGCAAATGCAGTCTGAGTTGGGGAGTAGGGAATGGCTTGGACATAGTATCCCAGTACTTGGGAGTATGCAACAGGAGTCTGGGCCTAGCATGGGCTACATTCTGAGTTATAGACCATCCTAAGCTAAAGAGTAAGACTCAGTTTTACAGCCTAAAGAAGTTCGGGGTGGCCTTGGGTCCATTCCTACTCATCATCTGGGAAGCTGCACAGCCAAGGTCCCATTGGTCATTAAGGTGATTTAGAGTTCAGGCCTCTGATTACATGTTTCCTGCCACTGTGCACCATGACTGCAGCTGAGACACTGTGCACCATAACAATGGCAGCTGAGACACTGTGCACCATGACTGCAGCTGAGACACTGTGCCCCATAACAATGGCAGCTGAGACACTGTGCACCATGACAATGGCAGCTGAGACACTGTGCACCATGACAATGGCAGCTGAGACACTGTGCACCATGACAATGGCAGCTGAGACACTGTGCACCATGACTGCAGCTGAGACACTGTGCACCATGACTGCAGCTAACGAAACGGCCTTCCTCACTGCTGAGTGTTCAGCAGGATCCTGGTGTTTGTTCATTTACAGAATATTTCTCGAATTTTCCATTGCTGCCACTAGAAAATAATGACCCAAGTTTCATAGTTCGCCCAAAATAAGTTCAGGAGCACGCCCAGATGAAAGCAGTTGAAACCTGCACTCCGGGGACAGTGTGTTCTGACGACAGGTCGAGAACACACATGCTGGTTATCAGCATGTCAAGGGTGCAAAATGGCCATGGTTACTCTATGAGGTGTTTAGACAAACCCCAGCCATTGAGTGAACCCCAGCCATTTCCATTTTTCTTACGAATGATGGGGGGCCTATAATGCAGCTAATTAAGCCCATGTCTTTATTTCTGGTGGGGGGAGAGAATATACATCCACAGACCAGGCAAAGGGGGACAGGGTGGAAATGGGATCGGCTCTTGGACGCAGGGCACAGCTTCTGCCCACTTTACCATTATTGTAGAGACCGAGCACATATGACAAATTCTGAAGACCAGGAAGGCGGGCCACACACTTACTTAGTACATCAGCTATTTACTTTTTGGCCCAGTAGCAAAGCTGAATTAAACAAGATAGAAATACCATACTGGCAAATTCTCAGATTGTAGAGACCATTAGAAGTAACAGCGGATGAACTGTTCTGCATTGCTGTGAGAAAATTTCTGACGTGAACAACCTAAGGGAAAAAAAGGTTTATTTTGGCTCACAGTCCCAGATGTCAGCCCATCATGACAGGGCAGACTACAGAGGTTTCCATCACGATGGAGAGGATTCAGTTAGGAAGCAGGAAACAACCAGGCATAATATACTTCCTAGGAACACCCCTGTTCCCCGGTGACCTACTTTCTCCTCCTTCTGAGTTTCCAGAACTTTCCAGAAAAGCAGCTCAACCATGAGACCAAGCCTTCAGATCCACAAGCCTCCAGACACAGTACACATCCAGATGAATCAGAAGACTGTGCTAAAACACAGACAGTTATGATTCCCCAGTTCTAGGGCAGGACCTGAGAATGGTTTGCAGTTGTAACAAATTTCCAGGTGATGCTGATGCTGCTGGTCTGGGGACCACCTTCGAAAAAGCCTCTCAGAAGAACATTCAAAATGATCTATTGGCCATTACTGCATGTCCTTCTCAGACCTAAATCCCTCTCACACCTATTTCCATGTCCTTTTTTCTGCTGCAGGGAGCGATGCTGATGCCCACTTACTTCCTGCTGCTCCTCCTGCTGCTCCTGGGGTCCCCAGGGACAAGCCTCTCCCGCAAGTTCTACAACACTGGACCAGTCTTCAGCTGCCTCAACATGGCCCTGTCTGAGGTCAAGAAGAGCAAGCTGGAGGATGTGCCCTTGCTGAGCAAGAACAGCTTCCACCACCTGCCCCCACAAGACTCTTTGGGAGAAGAAGAGGAGGAACAAAAGCATGGCAAGAGCAAAAGAACTTTCTCCGGCCCAGCGGGTGGGAGTGGAACTGGAAGCCTCCGGTACAGATACCAGTCTCAAGCACAGCACAAGGGGAAGCTGTACCAGGACAAGGTCAAAAGTGACCGGGGCACCAAGTTCACTCTGTCCCTCGATGTTCCCACTAACATCATGAATATCCTCTTCAACATTGACAAGGCCAAGAATTTGCGAGCCAAGGCAGCTGCCAATGCCCAGCTGATGGCACAGATTGGGAAGAAGTAAAGCAGAGGCCGGGGCAGGAGGGCAACACTTCGAGACAGGAGCCCCAGAGTAGAGGGTGAGGGAAACTGAGGACATGCCCTTGACTCTCAAAGGACTGCTGTGCCCCTCTGATCCTCTCTTCCCTCCAGCCTATTTTCCCCTCTCCTCTGTACATATCCACTTCAGCACAGTATTGTTCAGCCTGTGCAGATGACGGAGGTTAGCGTCTCTCCCTGTGTCCCGTGTCTGCTTTCTGCTTCCCTGTGGCAACAGGCTAAATTCACACAGAGCCCCTCCTCTCCAAGCTCCTCCCTGTTATCCACACATCTAAGGAGAGACTATTGAGGCTCCCTCCCTGTTCCACTCCTGCCCCAGCAGAGACAAAGAGAGGCACAGCTTACCCTCTTGCCCCCAAATATGTCAACTCTGTCCCCAATCTGGATTAAAGCCAGTGGCTTCCTGAACGTCTGTTTGTCTCTGCTTTTCTTCTTTCAAACTAATCCTAGGACAGGAACTGCTAATGAGGGAGGTTGCTGAGGAGTCAATTCTCCATCCTTCCCAGGAACCGCGTCTGCTAAAGAGTAAAGAAAGGCTCAAGAGTCGGTCAACATGTGTGGTTCCATCTCAAGCCACCGCTGCAAGCCGGCTCCACAAAAGTGGCAAAATTTAGGATTTGTTTCAGAATGGGCACTGGGCTGTGGATGAGCAGGAGGCCATAACATTCCGAATTCTCCCATAGCTCAGTCAAGTATGGGGTCACTAATTTCTTGTTGGGCTTTATGTGTATGTGTGCCGTATGCATGCGTATGTGTAAGCACGTTAGCATTGAGGGTCACCTGTATCTTGGTGGGTGTACCTGCATGTGAGTATGCATGGTGAAGGTAAAGGTTGATGTACTTGTCTTTCTGGATAACTCCCCACCTTACATACTGAGGCAGGATCTCTCACTTGAACCCTGAGCTCAGATAGCCTAGTTATCCAGCACGCTCTGGGGATCCTGTCTCCATGTTCCAGAATCTAGGATTATGGAAACGCCGTCATGCCTGCCCTGCATGTATATAGACACTAGGTATCTAAACTCTTGTCCTTCAGCTTGCATGGTGTCTTAGTTATTTTCTATTACCATGATAAGACACTATGACCATGACAACTTATGAAAGAAAGCGTTTATTTGGTGCTTACAGTTTTAGAGGGAAAGAGTTCATAGTGGGGAATATGGCGGCAGGCAGATGGCAGGCGGGCACTGAAACAGTAGCCAAGAGCACACATCTTGAGACGGGATCATCCAGGAAGCAGAGAGGGAGAATAGCAAATTGTGTTTTGAAACCTGAAAGCTCGTTCCCAGTGACACACTTTTCCCAATAAGGCCACACCTCCTAATCCTTCCCAAACAATTCCACTAACTGGGGACCAAGTGTTCAGATATATAAGCTGTTCTAATTCCACCCACCATACATGGCAAGTCCTTTACCCACTGAGCCATCTTCCTGACTCCTTGCTTGAACCCTCCCTGGACCCACATACCTGCCCAGTACTGTGTAGGACACTGTGGCAGATCCTGACATTTCTGTGATGCAAGTGGAGGTTTCTGCTGTCTGAAAGTCAATAAGCTAAGTAAATAAACAGAAGCAAAAGCGGACAATGAGGACTGCTGAGACGTCAAGAACAATGGCACTGGGTTTTGATCCTACTGCACGTACTGGCTTTGTGGGAGCCTAGGCTGTTTGGATGCTCACCTTACTAGACCTGGAAGGAGGTGGGAGGTCCTTGGACTCCCCACAGGGCAGGGAACCGGGTCTGCTCTTTAGGCTGATGAGAGGAGAGAGGGGGAGTTGATTGGGGGAGGGATATGGGAGGCGGTGGCGGGGAAGAGACAGAAATCTAAATAAATAAATAAATAAGAAGCAAATTTGGAAAGAAGCCAGTGTTACCACAATACTACAAATGGTGAACTTGAGAATGAGAGCAGTTGTACGTACATATACAATGATTTATATGAAGAATTCAAAGCTGAGAATATTTAATATGAACAAAATTTTCCTAAAACTGGACCACATAAAAAGAAACCTCTGGCCAGATTATCAGAAAAGAGACCATTGTCCTACAGATTTCCACACAGTGACAAATAATTAATATGTAAAATGAACTTCTAAATGAGAAAACATAACACCACACACACACACACACACACACAGAACATCAGCACCGCTACCAGAGGTAAAGTCAAAATATAAAAATGAAACTGGGGTTATAGTTCAGTGGTAGATGTTTGCCTAGTTATGTGCGAAGCCCTTGATTAAATGTCCAATGCATGCATAGAGAGAAGGACAAACACAGTTCAGTCCTGTGGAACCAGGGCTACAGGATCTCCACAACACAGGGCAGCAACAGGATGTCTAGGAAGAGTCCCAGTGAGAGCGTAGCATCGATGGTGCAGTAGAGACCAAGGGCCACAAACCAGACCAATGGTTCTTTTGGATAAATGCCTGAGTGTAAAAATATATACAGATAAAGGAGTTTACTGCATGACTCGCGGGGTCACACTGCAGCTTCCATGACGAGATTTCCCCTTCTTCCTTTCTTCATTCTTCTTCCCCCTTTTTCTCTTAAAATTTTATTTTGTTTTATTTTGGGGTGGGGCAGGAGATGAGTGGGATTGGGAGGCAGGATGTGAAAGACACAAAAATAATAAACAAACAAACAAATCAGCTTGGAAATGCAGCCGAGTGATTTAGAAATGGCCCGTTGTACTGTTTCTTTGGAGTCTTGGCACTCAAACAATTTTTATCAAATCTTTAGGCTCTCAAAGTTTTCTCACTCTAATTGTTGAGTTAAACTGTGAGTCTTTTTTCCCCTGTTGGCATTTTGAACTCCTGATCCCTAGATCTTCAATCGGTACACATATAATTACTTAAGATGAGGTTATACCGGGTAGCATAAGCCCTAATTCAGGATGACCAGTGTCCTATGAGAGGAGGAATTTTAGCCAAAGAGACACACAAGTAGAAAATATCATCTGAAGATTGAAGTTATGTCACAACCCAAGACATAATCACAAATTAGGAGGACAGTCTGGAGGAGAGCCTTCCTAAGAACTTAGGGAGCTCGGGCTCCTGACCCCTTGTCCCTGAAGTTTAGTTTCCAGAGCTGTGACACAATTAATCTCTCTTTCTTGAGCCACTCAGTTCATTAGGTGACTGGAACACTAGAAAAATTGTGTTATTTTAACTGTGGTGATCAAGGAGGAATTGCATGTGATCATCTTCTTTTATGAAAATCTTTCTGTGCAGATAATAATGCCTTCTCTGTACAAATTAGTAAACTGAATCTCAGAATAATCAAATGACAAAAAAGAGATAGAGACAGGAAGACGGACAGACACAGCGAGACCTACAGATAAAGTGATAGCAAATTTTGAAAAAGTTTGTCATTCATGTAAAAGGCACACAGCTCCCTGTTCAATACATAAAGAGCTACTTTAAAAAAAAAATAAGCTGATTAGGGACTGATCCAAAAGAAAAACAAGCAAGGACACGACAGGTCCCAGAAACACGCATACATATGCAAATGAGCTTTACCGCTACGAAAAAGTGTTCCGTTTCATAATAGTGACACTGTTTTAACTACCACACACAACTCCTCCTCTGTCATCCTGGCAAGGGTCTGTAAGCTTCACAACACGCTACATTGGCGATGCTAGCATTCACTATCCTCCGTTACTCACCATGTCCCTACAGCCAGAGAGAGACAATTTGGCAATACACAGTGACAGTATGAAGTTTTACATCCCTGGATTTAACAATCATCCTCTTGCAAGCAATTTGGAAAATTTAAACTTTAAATATTTTTCAATTTTAATCATCCTAACTCTTAGATCAATACTCCAAGCACAGAGAAACGAACTTTTTTTCTGAATATTACCTGTTTATGATCAAATCTTGGAAGTTCCTTGGTCACTAGTGTTCCTAAAACCGTGATAAGTATATATGAATATTATCTCAATGAAGGCGTAAGTCACGAACAAGGCCACACCAGTTTGGAGTTATGATTAATAGGGTGTTATTTATTTAAAGGGGAAAACTTACAGATCACCGTCTCAGACAACAGCCATCTGCACAACCAGGAAGGGAGTCTAGTCTCCGGCGGAGCAGGAAGTGAAGAGAGCGAGCAGAGGAAATAGCCGCTTTTTTAAAGGGAGAGAGGCCACGCCCCAATGGGCTGGTATCACAGCAGCTATTGGTTGGAGGGGCGGAAGGACCTCCCGCAACATCTCAATTCTTACACGTATATTCCAAGGTACATATAATTTTTCCCTTTTGAAGACAGAGATTGAAGACCAGAGAATGTCATCAGAGTGATAAGCAAGGTCTCCCATCTATGAAGTGGCAGACTCACATCCGTTTGCTCATGAACTTTCTCTTAATCAGTGTTGCAAGCATTAGAAGCACCAGCCAACCCCCCAAGTCATAGAGCTATCCTGAGACTCAAATGAGCTGCAAATGCAGAGGCATCAAAAAAAAACATGGGTACTGGGGCTTAGTAGTATGTCCCCAACATGATGATGACATGTGCAGATAGTTCATGAACTAGGAGGATTGCCCAAATCTGAAACTCATCATGGAGAGAAGATAAACAGGAAGATTCTTTTTTGGCGAGCTCCCATTCTAGAGTTCTGTCTGTCTGCACACTCAAACCCTGTCTTGAGATTAAATAATGCCTCTAAGCATGCTAGTCATAACGCCTTCGATACATGGGCAATAGAGTTGGCCATATCCAAAAAAAACCACCATCACTTTCTATCATGCCAAATTTTACTTTTGTGTTGTGTTACTTTGGAGAACAGGCATCAATCATTGTCTTAACATGAGTAAGTTGCCTAGTCCTCCTGCTTTCTCCCCAGTCAGAGGAGAGCAGGTGCACAGGTGAGGAATGGCCTTACCAGCTGCAAGAACATAGCAGTTCAACTCAATGGCAAGCTGCTATGGCTAAAGAGCTTTTTTTTTTTTTTTTTAACTCTAGCAGCCCTGGTGATAAGTAGGTGTCAAAGGGAACTTTGAGTGCACAAGAATTAAAACACTGCTCTTGGAACTTCCATGAGCTCTTGCCAGACCATAATTTGCCATTTCCCTAAGATGTATCATTAAAATTATTCTCCAAGACAGATGTGCATGAACAATTCAAATATCCAGTAAGGGAGCCCCACAGATTACCCAATGTCTGTGTCCTCTTAGAGACTGTGTCACTCTCTAATAATGGTCATGCACCCTCTTTGATTAATGGTTTGAAGGGGGTCACTGAGATTTGCTTCAATCAATGCAGAAAATGCACAGAGCTTTCAGGCCTCCCCTCTATAAGCATGCTTTGGTTGACCATGCTTTAGGGGAATATTAGATGACCATGTCTAGTTCAAAACCCTGCAACTGTGGCATAGACATGGAAGAAAGGGTTAAGGAGCACCCAATTGAATGCAATTCATTTATTAGGTATAACACACCTTTTAATTACATTTTATTTATTGTGTGCATGTGCACACACAAGCATGAGATCCCACCGCTCACAAGTGGACATCAGAGAGCAACTTACAAGAGTCATCTCTTTTTTCACTATGTAGTTCTAATGGATCGAACTCGGGTCACTCAGCAGCAAGCACCTTAACCAGCTGAGCCATCTCTCTGGCAGGATTATGTCATTATGTCATCATTTTTCAGGGTTGTCTTCCCCAGTAGCTTTGCTAAGTGATTAAGCTTTGAATAATTACTTATATGGCATTTGAGTGTTATGTCTCAAAGTTCTTGTGATAAAGAAGTTGTACATATTTGACTTTAAACTATAGTGTTCACAACATTTCAGAGTGGCTGACTTAGGAGAAAAAGCACATTAAGCCCTTTAGTTCCTATTTTAAATATGAACATTTTGTAAGCAACCTAAAGATTATAAGGTTAAATCACGATTTTTCTAGTTTACGAACATTCTTGGGACAGTTAAGGGTGCTCACCATATTTATAGTTTAAATCTTTAAATTTAAAAAGAGTTCCTAAGGGTTTGTGAGAAAGTTTGTCACACTACTACAGCCCTTGAAGGAAGTGGAAAATGTTAAATCCATAGCCAATCTCAAATATTTAACACCGTTTTTGAAATATAAAAATGGTACCAAAGGATGTATGTGGATACTATTTAAAAGCAAGTGTGTAAGTTTGCCTCACTTAAATGCTGGACATGTGTAGCAGTTGCTTGTACTCAGAAAATAAAACCCAGCACTTGGAAAATAAAGTCGGGGATTGCAGAGCAAGTTGACTACTACATTAGCTCAATCAGCAAGCTCTGTGTTTATCTAAGAGACCCTTATCTCAGTAAATAATGGGGAGAGTGGTTAAGGAAGACACATACAGTGTCTGTCCTCCACATGCTAGGGTACACATGGGAACGTCATTTACACACATGTGCTTTCCCACATGTAAGTGCACATATGCATATAAGCACACACTACACACATACACGTGAGAAAAGGTAAACCAGACTTATAAATAGTGGGATCCACAAGGTTTATTTTAAAACTTAAGAAACAGTGTTCATTTGAATATTGTTAAATTTTAAAACAAAATAAAATCTACAAATGTTCTTCTGGTGGGGAGGAAGGGAGGGAAAGAAGGAGAGAGAGAGAAAAAATGTATTTCACTAGTGCCCTCCAGTGGCTAAAGAGAAAAGCTAACCAGTACATTAAAGAAAAAACAATGTAACAAAACTGTAAACCACTGTGTAGTATATTCAAATGGAAGAACCATAAACTATTATTTAATATCATATATGAAAATGGAGAGAAATTCCATAGCATAGCTCAGCTCTCCCCAAATCCTGGGCGGGAGTGAATGGAGGCTCTAGATTGCTCTGGTTACTCAAAGAGGACACAAGGCAGTAGAATTTCACAGTTTCAGGGAATCTTAGAATTGTATTCTAAAGCATGAGTTATATCACCAGCCACAGACAAGTATATACTAGAAAATGGGGGGGGGCTGTCTTGGATGTAATTTATGAGAGCACTGTGACAGATAGGAGTGGAAATGTAGTTGATATGAACTGAGAAAGACTACCCTCCGTGTGCAGAAGTTTATACCTTATGTCGAAGAAATGGCAACTCATTAAATCCTGGGGCCAGGGAGCAAGATCATGCAAACTGTACTTCAGAATGCTCAATGATGGAGCAGTGGAAGAGGGGTTAGGAAGACAGGATGGAAGACAGGAAAGCTGTTAAAAGGAGGGGACTTCATGACTCCAAAAGAGGTAGACTCTGAAAAAAATTACAGAAGCAGAATCAACAGTAGCTGGTTCTATATAGAATATAAGAAATCAGGGAAGTTAGCAAAAAATAACAGTGTTGTTTAGAATCTGCATCAGTGGGAAGATAATGACACAAACAGACATAGAGACCACTAAAGGGAAAATATATTTCAGGTAAAGAGTACGTTTTTAGGAAGAAAGCATTTACGTTTACACAAAGCATCTAGAAAACAAAAAATTCAGTGTAAGACTTAACAGAGACATACATAGTGGACAATGAGGACTACTGAGACCTCACGAACAATGGCAATGGGTTTTTGATCCTACTGTACCTATTGATTTCGTGGGAGCCTAGGCAGTTTCGTGGATGCTCACCTTACTAGACCTGGATTGAGGTGTGTGGTCCTTGGACTTCCCACAGGGCAGGGAACCCTGATTGCTCTTTGGGCTGACGAGGGAGGGGGACTTTATTGGGGGAGGGGGAGGGAAAGGGGAGGCGGCGGTGGGGAAGAGACAGAAATCTTTAATAAATAAATAAATAAATAAATAAATAAATAAATAAATGACTTAACAGAGAAAAAAACTTAGAGAAAAGAATGTGGACAGTCACATTTCAAAACATGTGTTTGTGAAATAAACAAAAGAGGGCTGGAAATGTCTCCACTGGGGAAGACAGTGTGGAAGAGGAGTCTGATAGAACACGTAATTTTAAATAAGACATTTAAACCATCCCCTTTAAGGCTCAGGGAGCACCTAGGATGAGCAAGCAGGAAAACGTAGGAGCAGGAAGATAGGGAGAAGGGCTGCAGAATGCCAACCTCTAGGTGTGACACATGAATCGCAATTGATTTCCCTGCTATGATAGACTTTAACCCCTTAACCCACGAGCCAAAATAAACCCTACCTCTAAGTTGCTTTTGTGTCCTCATAGCAATACTAAGAGGAACCAATAAAGCCTTCTAAGGCTGGAGAGATGATTCGATGAATGAAGGGCTTGCTGAACAAGTGTGAGACACAGAATTCAGATCTCCAGTATCCACATAAATGCAAAGTGGGCATGATTGTTCACCTGTAATCCCAGTGCCTGATAGCAAATACGGGGTCAGACTAGCTCAACCAGTGAGCTCCCAGTTCATGAAGAGACAAATACAGTGGAGAGAAATTGAGAGAGACATGACAATAGCTTCTGGATGCTATATGAACTTGCCCACATATCCATACTTCTAGAAGACATACAAACACGCACACACACACACATATGAGCATACTACACACACATATACACATGCAAAACAAATACAACCGCCCATCCTGGACAGATCAAATAAAGAGGGGACACATAGTTTCTTACCTGCAGGATACTCACACCTAAATTCTAAAAATGCTCAACAGTATTCTCACTTGTTTGTTTGAAAATAAAACTAAGGAGTTAAAGCCCACACTTGGAGAAAGGAAAAGAAATATTCTGAAAACATTTGTGATTTAATTGATGTAGAATACATAAATAATAGAGAAATAACATTCATAATCTGTGTTGTTTTCCATCTTAGATACAGGAAAGGGAAAGCAGAAACATTAAGGTTCCATATTTGCTTCGTGTTTTGTTTTGTCTTTTAAAGCAAAGGGGCAAAGATTAAAGTCAGGCTTTTGCTGTGACATAAGAATTAGTAACAAAATAACTCTACCTAGAAGAGACTTAGTAGTTCAAATGACTGCAATCCTCAGAAGATTCTCAATTAGCAGAGCTGAATTCTACTGTGCACAAGAAAATAAGACTGTATTGTTGATATTGATATATTTAATTTAATGCACAATTTGGGACCTTGTTGATTGGATTTTTGTTTTCCTTTTATTCATTAAGTATATAATAGCTTGAAAACAAATAACAACATTTTAACTCAGTATCCATTTGCTTTGTCATCTTTACATCAAAAACTCAGTCCCACTTCCTCATAATCTTTCTCCAGAGCAGCCAGGTCTTCCCTGGCCTCTATAAACTCCCCTTGGTCCATGCCTTCCATGATGTACCAGTGCAGAAATGCCTTCTTGGCATACATGAGGTCAAATTTGTGGTCCAGGCGGGCCCAGGTTTCCACAATCGCTGTGGTATTGCTCAACATACACACAGCTCGCTGAACCCTGGCTAAATCCCCTCCTGGCATTGCCGTAGGCGGCTGCTGATTGATGCCCACCTTGAAACCAGTTGGACACCAATCAACAAACTGAACAGAGGTCCTTGACTTCATGGCTATAGTTGCTGCATTCACATCCTTAGGGACCACATCTCCTCTGTATAGTAGGCAGCAAGCCATGTACTTCCCAAGCCGAGGATCACACTTGACGAACTGGTTGGAGAACTCAAAGCAAGCAGCAGTGATGTCAGGCACAGAGAGCTGCTCATGGTAGGCTTTGTCAGCAGAGATGATGGGGGCAAAGGATGGGATGGGGAAATGTATTCTGGGATAAGGTACCAGGTTGGTCTGGAATTCGATTAAGTCCACATTCAGAGGCCCTTCAAAGCGGAGTGAAGCGGTAATGGAAGATAACACCTGAGCTATCAACCTATTGATACTAGCATAGGAAGGACGTTCAACACCAAGTTTGTGACGGCAGATGTCATAGAGAGCCTCGTTGTCCACCAAGAATGTGCAGTCTGAGTGTTCTATGGTAGAATGAGTGGTGAGGACGGCGTTGTAGGGTTCTACTACAGCGGTGGAGAGTCTAGGAGATGGGTAGACAGAGAACTCCAATTTTGTCTTCCTGTAATACTCTGCCGAGAGTTGCTCCATCAAGAGAGATGTAAATCCCGACCCTGTGCCTCCTCCAAAGCTTCGGTAAATCGAAATTGCCTGAAGTCCACTGCATTGTTCTGCCTGCGGAAAGAACAACAAGCAATGTGAAAATTCCACCAGATATGTGCAAACTAATGAACTAGATGGTGGTGGTAGAATATCAGTTCCTAGGAAGAGAAGATTGGGAAGCGAGGCTGATGAAATGGCTCCATCAGCAAAGGGCTTGTCTTACAAGCATGCAGGTCTGAGTCTGAGTCTCAGAAGCTGCATTGTAAAAAAGAAAAAAAAAACTGGTCATGGTGTCATCAGTCATCACCCCAGCACTGAAGAGGTGGAGGCAGACAGATCACCAGGGCTGGATGACTATCCATCATCTCCTGGCTGGCCAGTACCATGTCATACAAGACCCCATCTCAAACAAACAACAAAAAAGATGGAATCGAAGGCATGACAGGCAAGGGGGTCCTCCTGTCCCAACATGCACCTGTGTATACAAAGACACACAGGAATATACACCTCAAAAATGACTCAGAATGGCCTCTTTGGTCTTTATCAGCTACACGACAAACATGGCTACTTTGAAATATTCCTGAATGATCCTTCTGGCATTGGTGAAGGCTTTAGAGTTTCACTACTGCTTGAGCCATTCTAATCCCAAACTTCACAATGCTCCAAAATCCTCTTTTTTTTTTTTCATTTTTGGTACTTACATGATGCCACTAATGGGAATTCCATATCTGCGCTTAGAGCAGTGAGTGAGTAACAGTCAACATACAGGCACATTAAAAGTACCACATAAAATTGCCTGGAGCCTATGACTATATGGATTATTGGAAATTTAAATGAGTTTTACATTTGTCTTGCTTGATCCCCTAAAATTGTGTGTGTGTGTGTGTGTGTGTGTGTGTGTGTGTGTGTGTACAAATATACCAAAACCTGGAAAAAATACCCACCCAAGCAATTTTGGTCCCAGTTATTCAGCTAAGGGAGGCTCAGCCTATAGAAGCAATTGGCTGTCTTTCATTATTTTCCACAAATTTATCTACATGAGATCTGAAGGTTTTTGTCAATAATAAAGAAAAGAAAAAGAGCAAAATACTGAAGTAAAATAAAGTCCCGTCTACTGTAGACAAAGTACCTCTTAAGCTACACACTACGTCCAGGAAGATATGAAAGGTACTCTTACCAGTGGTTATACCAAACCACTTACTTTACAAAGGATCTGCAGCATCAAACCCTTACAGAACTATGAGAAAGAGCAGTAAGTATCCTTCACAGAAGGTCTGTCCCTTGTTGGAAAGTAATTCATTTTAGAGAACTTTGAAAGTCTCTGCTAACACACACATGCTCTCTCTTTCTCTCTCTCTCTCTCTCTCTCTCTTTCTCTCTCTCTCTCTCTCTCTCTCTCTCTCTCTCTCTCTCACACACACACACACACACACACACACACACACACACACACTGTAATAGGAGAAACAAGGGTAAAGAAGTGCCACCTGACAACTGTAAAGACCTCCTTTGTAACGGTGAAACCAAAGCCAACATCAGGACCCCTTACGTATCTCTGGAGGCCCAGAGTCAGAGAATTGGGGAGGGAAGATGGGAGCAAGCAAGGCTGTGACTGCTACCACAAGAACAGAAGTATCCAGCCTGACCCATTCATAGCTGGAGAGGGGCTACTTGCCAGCTTCCGGATCCTTTCTAACACAAGCTCGATGACATCTGAGCCCACGGAGTAGCGACCTCGTGCGTAGTTGTTCGCTGCATCTTCTTTTCCATTCACAAGCTGTTCCGGGTGGAAGAGTGAGTGGTACTTTCCCACACGGATATCATCTGCAGGGAGGGAAGTGTGGTCAGTGAGTAACTTCTGGCTTCTCTCGAACCCTGACAGGACGCTATGCTCTGATCCCTGTCCTTTTCCCGTGTTAAGGCAAAGGAACCGGATTTACTCTGCAGAAACGGCTTTTCTTAGTCTAGAAAAACAAAGAAGTCTTCTTGCTGGTGTTTTTGGTAAGGTACTATGTATTCCAAAAGCCCCTGAGCTGTCCGTCATCCAGCCTCTACATCCCAAGAGCTGAAATTACAGGTGTGCACGGCCATATCTGCTCTAATGTTGAGTTTAGGAAGTGATTACAGGATTCCTGCATGTTAGACAAGCACTATACCAACCGAGCTACATTCCCAATAATTTCTTAGTTTTTTTGTTCATAGTACCTAGCAGAGAAATACATAGCCTGTATATAAGGATCTTTAGCGTTACTCTTTTCACCCTATCCACTTAAATAAAACTTTTAATATTTGTACTATATTAACATTCATTGGCATCAACCTACTTTGTCACATAAATTTATTATGCATTCTAATGCCATTCTAATAAGGAAATCAACTCTAATCTAGTATAAACAGATCACATTTTTCTAGTAGGGCAGATATTTTCCAAAGATGGCCACAAAAGCACTTCCTATTACACATTGCTTCTAGAAGTCTGTTGTGCTTGCATTAAAAGGTGGAGGGGGGGTTCATATCCCTTCCCTGTGTCTTCATAACTTCCAGGACTGGGTAACAAACGCCATGAACATCTGCCTTGTACCCATGAGATACTTGGTCTTGGCACCTGACCACCATGCTATGATGAGGTCAAAGCTTCACAAAGACAGTTCACATGAAGAGGACTCAAAGCCCCAGCGGCATCCATGGCTCAGGACTCAGAACCCCAACTTGACAGATAGGTGAGTGGGCCACTATCCAAGTGAGTCCCCTGGCTCCCATCTGAATCTTTAAATCTGGAACGATGTGGAACAGTGAGCACTCGTATCTTCTGAGCCCCGCACAGATTATAGATTCATGAACAAAATAATGGCTACTACTGCCTTACACCACTGCATTTGAAGGAAGCTTATTATGTAGAAATAGATAACTAATATACATCAGATCTAAACCTACCCTCCTCTCTAAATTCTCTCTCAAGACAATGCCTCCTTTCTATGTCCAATATTTTTCTAGCTGCATGTTACAAGTTTTATGACAGGATATTGTGAAGTCTGCCATTGTTAATTATAAAATAACTTTTGGCTATCAAGATAGAAAATGGGTTTGTTACCAAATCTGGTTACTTGAGCTGGACTCCTGGGACCTTTCAAGTTGTTTTCTGACCTCCACACAAGAGATAGAGAGAGGGAGAGGAAGAAAGAGAGAGAGGGAGGGAGGGAGGGAGAGGGACAGAGGGAGAGAGAGAAGATTGATTCTAGAGAGAGAAAATGAAGAGAGGAAGAGGGAGAAGGAGAAAGAGAGAGAGAAATAAGTAGAATTTTAAAATAGCATTAGCTTCCCCCCATAATTTTAAGATTTATGTCATATCTTATTTCTATGGAATAATTTTCAAATACTCTACTCTTTTGCAGAAGATAATGACAAATTTTCAGGTTCTTTGCTGATAGCTTCTAGTTTTGCTCTCAGACCAGGGAAAGGATTCAGTGTTCTGCGGAAGTATGTGGGTGGATAAATTAAAAGCTTTACTTAGTTCATCTCTCTGGAAAGAGGGCTAATATCCATTTGGGTATGTTTGTCGTGGCATAGACGAGGTTGGAAAAGGTCTACACAATCCTATTCATATAGATGAGCACCATCTTGTAATCTCACCTGCTGCAGGAAGGTCATATCTCTACCATCACTCACCTGTCTAGTTTGTTTGAGCTGGGACTTGGTTAAAGCACTAGCAAGTCAAATTTAGATTACCTATCACAGTTGGTTCAAGGTCCATGAAAAGTGCTCTGGGCACATGCTTCCCGGCTCTTGTCTCATCAAAGAAAGTATCTAAAGATGCGCTCCTATGTTCCGTCCTAGCGTTTTCCAAATGATCGTGTTGACTGTCCAGAAGAAAGCCATCTGGCTGGATTCCATGTTCCAGGCAATACAGTTCCCAGCAAGCATCCCCGATCTGGACACCAGCTTGACCAATGTGAATGGAGAGACACTCCCTCTGGAATAGGCCATAGTGAGTTAGAATGGAGTAGGAGTTTAGATAACATGAACACTACTGATTACAACTAAAAAGGCCAAACTAGCTTAGAAATCATAAGGGAAGTTCACTGTAATCTAATGCAGAGATTCTCAACCCTCCTACTGCTGTGACCCTCTAATGCAATTCCTCATTTTGTAATAATCGCCCAGTCACAAATTTATTTTTGGTGTTACTTCATAACTGTAAGTTTGCTACTATTATGAATCATAATATAAATATCTGTGTTTTCTTATTGTCTTAGGTGACCCCTGTGAAAGGGTCATCAACCTCCAAGGGGGTTATGACCTACAGGTTCAGAAGCACTACTCTAAAGTGTTCTACAAAGGGGACCAGCTAGGTATCTCAGCAGGTGAAAAGCAATTGCCAGCCACATAATCCTGACAACCTGAATACAATCCCTAGAACACACATACAAGGGGAAGAAGATAACCATCTCCACAAAAGTGGTCCATGAATAACAAATTCCAAGGAGTAGATATGCTTCATGGAAAACGAAACCAAGGACTGAAATGGTGCCTAAACTTTGTCATGCTGGAGAGTCAGCTCAGTGAGTAAAATCGATTGCCTTGAAAGCCAGAGGATCCCTGGAACCCAGGTAAAGACAGAAGGAGAGAGGAGGCTACCCAAAGCTATACTTTGACCTCCACACATGGCTGGTGACATGCAAATTCTCATATATTCACATACGCATGCATACATGCAATCATGATAAACAAGACAAAAATGTCTTAGAAGACTTATAAAGTCCCTACTAGTGTGTGCTAGATGGAGAACTGAGTTAAGACTATATATGCATAGTCTTATATGACCGACACACAACTGTAATTAAAGGTAAAAAAATGTGGGTGTGGTAAATGGGTGTTTTTGTTTGTTTGTTTGTTTGTTTTATTGTTTTAATTGAGCTATACATTTTCCCACTCTCCTTCGTTACTCCCCTCTCCCCTTCCACCCTCACCCTTACCCTCCCAACTCCCAATTTACTCAGGAGATCTTGAGTAAATCTTCCTTCCTATGTGGCTCCATGTATATCTCTCTTAGGGTCCTCTTTGATGTCTAGGTTCTCTGGGGTTGTGAACTGTAGGCTGGTTAACCTTTGCTTTCTTCTAATATCCAGTTATGAGTGAGTACATATTATATTTGTCTTTGTGGGTCTGGGTTACCTCACTCAGTATGGCTTTTTATAGTTCTGCCCATTTGCCCGCAGTAAATGGATCTTTACATCAAACTAATTTACCCAGAAAAAAAGTTATTAGAAGAGAGTAAATTTTAAATCAACCAGCTTTTTCAAATAGTAAAACTCATTGCAGACAAATTAAATATGTTGTTTCTTCATTATTGAAATTTTGTTATTCGTATGTACTCACCAAAGGGAAGAATATTCTAAGGTTAAAACTATTAGAAATTTTCACTTATTTTCCAAAACAAGCACGTCATTGTGCATTAAAAACTGGAGGCCAATATTAAGATATTAAAATACTTAGTGTAAAAGAAAAAATAAGTGTTTTGTGAGATTCCTAGCTCAGTATAAATGGTGATGAGCTACAGAATGCATATGCTTAACTCTGACATGATTATAGTTTCATTTGTAATCAATTAAATCTAAAATTTTCCAATGTTTCTTTCTCTCTTTTTTTTTTGGTTGGTTTTTCACACTAGCCCACTAGAGAAAGAAAATATAAAGATTATTGTTGGCTGTATTTGAGGAAAAAATGAGGAAAAAATATGAGATGGAAAGATATAACTCTGAGTAATGAATCTATTTGTGTAAAATCTTGGTAGGACTATTACATATTTTGAATTAATAAATGAATGAATAGACATTTAGATATTTAGAGTGGACTTGTATAATCCATTTGTATTTAGTGAATTAAAAGACTTATTAATAATTGTAAAATAATATTGAACTCTTCAAAAATGAAGGCTTTTTATTTTCCATTAAAAAAAAACCTGGAGGCCAAAGAGGTGACTGGGTGGGTAAAGGTGCTTGTCTCCGGGCCTGAAGAGCAGAGTTTGGTCCCCAGATCCACATGGTGGAAAGAGAGAATCAGAACCAAGTCCTTTAAGTTGACATCTGACCCTGCACCAGTGCCCTGACCCCTTCACACACAATGAATAAAATAAATGTAATAATTTAAGGAAACCCCTATCATATGCATAATTTTATAAGGAATATTTTGTCAAATACTTTTTTACAAATACTTATTTTCTATCATTTTGTATGTCTAGATATATGGGAGTTCAGATCCCCAGAACCCACAGAAGTGCTGCATGGGTGAGGCAACTTGCCTATACTGCTAGCCTGGGAAGGTAGGGATAGAAGATCCATAAAGCCAGACATCGAGCAAAGGTAGCTGGATCTCTAAACTCTGGGTTTGATTGAAATAACCTGACTCCAAGAATAAAACGGAATAACAATTGAGGATGCTTCCTGACATCAACTTTGGGCCTCCATATGCAGGTACTTCCCCATACGCCCGTCCACATACACACAGAAAAAATAAACGAAATTCATGATTACACAAACTCTAGTTATTTCTGAATAATAGGAATTTTATTATGTAAATGTTACTTTTTTAATCTGCCCTCATCAGCATTCATTATTTTTTTTAAAGTAAACATCTTTTTAAGTAGTTGAGAGGCCTCACGCCTTAGGGGTTCTATTATTGCAACAAAACACCATGACCAAAAGCAAGTTGGAGAAAAAAGGGTTTATTAGGCTTACACTTAAGCATGGCTGTTCATCATTGAAGGAAGTCAGAACAGGAGCTCAAACAGGGTAGTATCCCAGAGGCAGGAGTTAATGCAGAGGCCATGGAGGAGAGCTGCTTACTGGCTTGCTCCTCATGGCGTGCTCAACCTACCTTATTACAGAACCTAGGACCACCAACTTAGGGATGGCATCACCTACCATGGGCTAGGCCCTCTCCCGTTGATCACTAAATGAGAAAATGCCTTATGGCTGGATCTCAAGGAGACACACAAAACCTCCAGTACACCATATTAACTACTTTTTAACAGAGAAAAGAAAAGGTTAAATTCTAGAAATCTACAGTACTATCTGATGTAAAGTTGCTACGTTCTGATTGCCAGTGGTCCTGTACCAAGTCTGCCCTGGCTTGCCCAGCCTTCTGCATTCTCAAGTCCTTCAAGGTGCTTGGCCTTGTAAGCTGGGTGGGGTAGCAACCACAAATGCACTGTCTCAAAGTCTGAACTCAGCTACAGACCTCAGACCTCCCACTAATTGCTGGCCAGGCCTGTGTGAACAAGAAGTCAGAGACGAGGTCAAGAGCTCTGACCTGCCACACCCCAGCAATCTGATCCGGACTTTGCCGTGCTCAGCAGCATCAAGCACTTGGACTTTGTCTCAATTGACCCGGCATACCATAGACTTCTTCACTTCATGAGAATTTCAGGCTTAATGCTTAGAACTTCATCTTCTTTAATTTGCACGACTATCAGTTTCTGGTGACAATGGCTGTTGACCTTAACTTCAACATCACTTGGAACAAACTAATAGCCCTACATCTCTAAGCATATGACAATCAAAGCAGTACCTTCCATTATGAGCAAGCTTCATAATCCTTATCTGCAAAGGACAATTCCATTCCTCTCCTTCCTTTTGGACTTTAAAAGCTATAAATATATTAACCAAACCAGACCTTTGTCCTCTACGTTTAAGACCGATTTAGAGAGGAAGGTTGTTTATTGTGTCTGTACCCGAAAGAAACTCTACAAAATTCACAGGCAAACAGCTCCCAGCGACTCCCTTCGCCAGCTGTCAGTGGCCACACTGGGAACTCTGTTGAGAGGCATACTCACTGACAGTAAATCACAGTAAAAACAATCACCAGCAGGAATAAATTGCCACCCTTCGCATGCTCAAACAACACAGTAAGTAGGACTACTCTTTCTCGACATAGCAGGCCTCTCAACACAGCACTGCTTGGCCTGACAAGCCCTGTTCTTGACTGTAGAAACATCCAACTCTACAAAATAGCCACATCTGGTGGTAGAGACCTTATTCTTCCCTTAGCCTCTGCCATCTTTCAACACTCTGTTAGAACATTAGCCGTAGTATTAAACAGTCTAAGATTGTAAACTACCCACTAAATGTCAGCATTGATAAGTCCCAGCACACTAATAAACGCTGTTCCAAAACTGATTTGAGTTACTGAGAAAGGATAATTTTCAATTAATCTTAATTTTAATGTGAAGAGAGTTGCAGATTCAAATGCAGTTCTAAGAAATGAGCAGAAGACCTCTCATACCCTTTACTCTTTTGCTCCCAGGGGAAATACCTTGCAGGACAACATCCCACCCTGAATGCTGACACTGATCCAGTCAAGGCACAGGACGTTCTAATGTAAGTATCTTTTGTGTTGGAAGCCTTGGTTCTTAAAGGTAAAAACAACTTAAGCAACCAGAATACAGGAAAGTCCACTGTGGAGAGACAAAGATGAAAAAGCAGTTTGAAAGGTTTCTTCCATTCAAGAATTCAAAATTCTAAGATACTGAAAACCACTGGGGTTTCCATAGTGGGGAAAATCCCTTAATTCTCTAAAGGCAGTCCTCTAAGGCAGCCCCAAGTAACTATGTTCCTTCTCACACAGAACTAAAGAAGCTAAAGACAATGCTGTGTCCTTTGATCTGCCACACACTTTTGATTTATTGAGGATTTAGGGTAGAGGAAAGTACCTAAATAGAATCTATGAAATCCACCACCATCCCAACTCAACACTGTCAATTGCATACTGTGCCCACTTACCATGGTGATCTGAAGGTGTCCCTACAGCCCTGTCGTGATGATTGAGGAGCAGTCATTTCTAGCCCAGCCTTATCACTGGGCCCGGAAATAACTCCACCTGAGGACTGGAAACATTCTTCTCTTAAAGCAACACACCCAATTTTTAATCTTTCAGTTCTCACATGACAACGTTGCCATAATGGGACTGAACAGGATGTGTTAAAGTTTATGCCAACGACAGCTTAGTCTACTACAGTAGTGACAGCTTACCTGCAACTCCTTCTAAACTAGATGTACGTTGACTATAATAAATCACTGTGTGTGTGCACATGTGTATTTGTGTGGGTGTGGATGTACATTCATGTGTATGTACACGTGTGGAGGCCAGAGGACAGCCTTGGGTGTTGGTCTTCAGGAGCCACCCACCTTGGTTGTGTTACAGGGACTCTCATAAAAGAAAACATTTAACTGGGGCTGGCTTACAGTTTCAGAGCTTCAGTCCATTATCACGGAGGGAAGAATGGTGGCACCCAGGCAGACATGGTGCTAGAGAAGTAGCAGCCAAGAATTCTATATCCAGATCCACAGGCAACAGAAGAGAAAAACTCTGGCCTTGGAAGGGGCTTTTTGAAACCTCAAAGCCCATCCCCAGTGACATACTTCCTCCAATAAGACTATACCTCCTAATCATCTCAAATAGTGCCACTCCCTGGTGACCAAGTACTCCAATCTATAAGCCTATGGGGGTCACTTTTATTCAAACCAGCACCCTGGTATAACAAGTTCAACATGGGGACAACTCGAGCTCTCACGCTTTTGCAGTAAGCGCTTTGCTCATTATCTTCCCAGCCCTCACAAATGTCTTCCTAAATTTTTCCTCTAATATTAAGAATTGAGTCAACATTAATGGGGAAAATGAGAGCATTTGAGTAAGGTAAGAAGAAGGCGTCCATCTAAGCTGGAGCTGGAGTTACAGGCATCTGTAAGCTGTCCAATGTGGTTACTAAGATCCAAACTTGTATCTTCTACAAGATCATCCAATACTCTTAACTGATGAGCCATCCCTCCAGCCCTGGTTTAGTTTTTTGCTTTTTCTGATGTAATATTTTTTTATATTTTTTTAAATATTTATTTATTTATTATGTATACAGCATTCCTTCCATGTATGTCTGCAGGCCAGAAGACCCCATTATAGATGGTTGTGAGCCACCATATGGTTGCTAGGAATTGAACTCAGGACCTTTGGAAGAACAGTCAGTGCTCTTAACCTCTGAGCCATCTCTCCAGCTCCCTGATGTAATATTTTTATTGATTGTTTGGAAGTTTCACAAAATACACCCTGATCACACTCACTTCCCAGTCTTCCCAGGCCCACACCCACCCCACCTTTGGGGTTTCCCCCAAAGAAAAGAAAGAAAGAAAAAAAAATACCATTTTCTTTAAGGGGCTGGTTTTGATCTTTTGAGACAAAGTTGGGAAGGAAAGGGTTTATTTTATGCTTCCACATCACAGTTCAACACCAAAGGAAGTCAGGACAGGAAGTCAAGAGAGGCATGAACATAGAGGTGGAAGCTGAGTAGAGGCTATGGGGAAGGGGGGTGCTGCTGCTGCTTACTAGCTTGCTCCTCATAGCTTGCTAAGCCTGATTTGTTATAAAATCCCAGGACCACCAGCCATTGGATAGCACCACTCTCAACGAGCAGGACCCTCCCTCATCAACCGCTAATTAAGAAAAGGCTCTACAGGCTTGCCTACAGCCCGATATTATAGCAGCATATTCTCAGCGGAGGTTCTCTCCTCACAGGTGACTATTGCTTGTGTTAAGTTGACATAAACCTAGCCAGCACAGTTCTATAGCTCATGTTTTTACTTAAAATTAAAATGTTTGATTTTATTACATGCTTTTTTGGTTTTTTTTTTTTTCAAAATGTTTGTATTTTTTTCAAAATAAGGTTTCTCTGTGTGGATCTGGCTCCACTGGAGCTCACTCTGTAGACCAGGCAGGCTATAAACTCACAGAGATCCACCTGCCTCTGCCTCCTGGGTGCTGGGATTAAAGGTACATGACACCATCACCTGTCATACCTTTTATTTTTAAATATTTCTTTTATTTTTTGAGATTATAATCGCATCACTTATCTCCTTTTCTTCCCTCCCTCCTAGCCCTCTCTTATACATCTTCTCGCTCTCTTTCAAATTTGTGGTCTCTTTTTTTCCCATTAATTATTGTTACATACATATACATATATACATATATGTTCCTAAATACATAAATACAGCCTGCTCAGTCTGTATGATATTACTTGTAAATGTTTTCAGGGCTGACCGCTTGGTATCGGTGTGATCTTCCCTGGGGAGGACTATTTTTTATAGGCTGAAGATAGTCTTTCCAGTCAATGAGTTGTATTTAGATATCTCCCAATCACTCATTTGGATTGCCTTTAATTTTTCTATTACGTACAAAGCCTTTAACATCTTCCTGCACACATGGCGTTATTTTTTAGGATAACCTCCCACAAAAATAAGAGTCCACATTTAAGGCTGTTATCGATATTTAAAATAAAGAACTTTTTATTTACCAGTCTTCATAAAAATAACCTGAGAACTGTCCTTTTGTTTCGTGCCGCACGTTTTCAGTTTTGCCAGCAGAGGAAGCACTGGAAGAGAGGAGGACTAGCTAGACGACACTGGTTATCTGGCGGCATAACTGAGGACACAGGTATTGCTTTTGGCAAGTAGGCATATATCCCAGAAGAATAATTTAGTCTTTATATGCCCACTGCACCTTGCTTTCCTTTCAACCTATCAAACGCTAAGCAACATCAAATGGAAAACAGCTTTCTATCCATTTTTCTGGCCTGCAGCAAACGTGAATAAAGACTGGTTTTGAGATATTCAGGATACCCCTAACTTTCACCCTGTTGTTGCTAATTTGTCTCGCCTTTTCCCTCAGGCTTCCAGGAGTGTGCTGCGAGGTCCTCGGGGCTGGGGCGGGACTCCACATATCCTAGCAACCGCTACTCGCTCTCTGATTGGCTGACCGCTGGGCCGCCGCCATTTTCAAATCCCCGGATGATGGCGGTACCAGCTCTCTGCTAGAAGGCAACATACTGCCTCGCAGAAGCTGGCGGGCACCGTGCCCGCCACGGTCGGTCTCCCGGGCACTGGGCCACCGCCCCACCCCCTGTCTCCGGACATGGAGCCAGAGCCAACGGCTCAGAAGCAGCCCCGGCCGCGGAGGAGAAGCCGCAGGGCCTCAGTGCTCTGCGAGGACAGAGCCGCAGGGCCTCCGGCCGACACACCCGGGCCGGCGGCGGACGGGAGGTGAGTGTGCAGGAAGTGGCTGGGGAGAACCAGAGATGGATCCCGGGGACCGGGAAGTGGGTGGATGGGGAGCACCAGGCGTGGAATCCAGAGACTCGGAAAGGGGTGGATGCTCCTGTAGAAGCGGGAGCTCACCGCGCGCTGGGAATGGAGCAGGGAGGTTGGCAGGGAGGTAGGAGCACGGAGAGAGGCAGGCCGGGCAGAAATGCGGGAACCCACGGGAGGAGAGTGTACTGCTTGCTGTCCAGCCCGGAGGCTCCGAGGACTCGCCAGCCTTGAGATGAGGCCCCAAACAGCGACTGCTAGGCCCTGCTTAGAAGGGGCGGACCCATTGGGCTTGTTGACAGTCTTCTTTAACCCCTTCCTGGGGAGCCGTACTTTTCTGTACAAGAGCTGTCCCCTACACGACTCTAGCCGACCCAGACTGTCACGGAGCCTGTGGTAAGGGGAGTGATTGTCACCTGAACAGGCACCAGCCCTTTAAGCCAGAAAGCGGCTGTTTGAAATGAAATGGTTTTTTTTTTTTTTTCCAGACCAGAATAGGCCAGGCTCCCGGCACGAAGAGATCAGAGAAAGTCACTCTCTGTCTTTTCGATTATTAGCACATTTCATATTCTGTGTCTTCATTTCTGTATGTCTGGAAAAGGTGGACGTTAGATTGGTTTTAGAAACCTGCATCTGGAAGAGATGCCATGGAAATCACAATGTTATTATCAAATAGGAAATCAAAATGGCATTTGTCTGTGCTGCTCTGCAATGCTTTTGACCCGTGATATATGAAATTGTTTTAAATTACTGAATATAGTGTTCCCATCCTAATGAGGGACTCGGATGAAGTGTCAGGTCCCATCACTTTGTATGAGCTCGGTGCCTGTGCACTGAGGATACCATAGTTTCTGCTTCACATAAGGCATTGGTGGACCTCAGTGCTTAGCATGGCCCTGCACGAAGAACGCTCCACACAAATCTTGTCTGTCAGTTTTTATCTTTGAAGGTGACCATCCGGTATCTGCTCCATCTTTTCAGAAGCCCACTTGCCGCAGTTTTAGGTTTGGTGGTGGTGGCTTTGTTTCTGAGGCAGGTTCTCACTGTGTAACTTGATCGTTCCAGAACTCCCTATATAAGGAAGCTGAGCAGAAACTCACACCGTGCATTCTGCACCGGAGCTGTTCTCTACTAAAGCTAGCAGGCTGCAGGGGCTCAGACCAAACCTCGGGGTAACGGTGCTGAGGAGGAGAATTGTCACCTGAGCAGGCAGCAAACCTTTCTTCCTAAAAGCTTTCTTCCTTGGCCTCCCCCAGTGCTAGGATTACAGTGTATACCACCACACCCAGATCACTTGTTATGATTTTAAACTTTTATATAACTTTCTGTCCAGTTATGCCATATGGTTTTGAGGAATATATTACTTTCATTACCAATGCATGGGTAAACCCAGTGTGTTAAGTAACTCCATAAAGAGCTAGATTCTTTCACTTGGTACAGATTTTTATTAGTTTGAAGTTTAAGGTAATAATTTACCTGAATTGTTACCTTCTGAATCGTCCTCTCATCCTGTGTTTAAGAAGAAGTCAGCGTGCAGAAGGAAGTCATCCTTGAGACTGAGAGTTAGGAAAATCAGGAAAGACTAGTTAAAAGGGGGAAAAAGAGGAGAGATTCCAAAAGATGGATGGAGGCGGTTCTGCACTTATTCAGTGATAACTGTTGCACCTGCCAGACAAAGACACTGTTGTAGATAGTGGGGACTCTAGAA